AGGAGGAGGAGGAGGAGGGTGGGCTGATGGGGAGGAAGGGGAGAGGCAGGTCCAGACAGCGCTGGCAGAAGCCAATCCCAAAAAGCGGCTCCGGGAGTGGATTCTTGGAGGCGCTGCTGGCAGGGGAGATGCCAAAGCTGAGCCCTGAATTGCTCCAAGCCCCCACTGGGTCCATTTAAATCAGAGAAAAAGGAGAAGGTGATGAGGGTGGTAAAACACTGGCACAGGGTGCCCAGAGAAGCTGTGGGATCCCTGGGAATGTCCAAGGCCAGGTTGGACATTGGGGCTTGGAGAAGCCTGGGACAGTGGAAGGTGTCCCTGCCATGGCTGGGGGTAAAAAATAGACAATCTTTAAACTCCCTTCCAACCCAAACCATTCCAGGGTTCTGCCATTCCATGAACTGTATTTTTAGGCCAATATTTATGGTTTGTCCCTTTGCAGTTCCACCAGATTTCAGGAGAGTTCAAAGGTGTTTTCCTGCCTCCTCCGAGCCCTGGGCTATTTATAGCTGTCAGATGTTGGCAGCCCAGCTCTCACAGACAACTGTAGGGTGACAGTGTGCACATGGAAATGGCTCATTCCTGGTGAGTAATTCCAGGGCCAGCCAGGATCCTGCCGAGTGACGGGGTTTGTGTACGACACAGCCAGGAAAGGGGGGCTGGGAGGAGCAGCGAGACTCTCCTTTGGGCTGAGCATGAGAAAAAAGGAGAAGACTGAAATTTCCAGGGAGACCTCTTCCCTTTCGGGATTCTCCTCAGGGAGAACGATGCTAATCCTGCCCCATGGGCTATTTCAAGCCAGGGTGGCCTAGTTGCCAGAGCTGTCCTTGCTGATTCCAGCTCTGGGGATGCTCTTATCCTTCCCTAGGTGCTCAGGAGAGGACGAATCTCACCGTGGCACAGCACTGACCCAGATGCCTCCACAAGGTGCGGTGCCAAAGCCCCTCAGGTGCCCATATCCACCCTCCAAGCTCCCAAAAGGCTTCCTCTGGCTGGGACTTGGGAAAAAGTGACCCAAAAAGTCGCTTCTGCCATACCCCCAGTGTGAAGGAGGCACGCCAGGGCAGGGGTGGAGGCCCCATCTCTGGAGGGATTTAGAACTGCATGGATGTGGCACTTGGGGATGTGGTTTGGTGTGGCCTTGGCAGTGCTGAGTCCAACCCTATGACCTGAGAGGGCTTTTCCAACCTCACCAGCTCCATGTTTCTATGGAAAAGAACTTCCTGCAGAAACCAGGACCCTTTTCTCCGGTGCATTTCTCTGAATATCCCACGTCGTGGGGGTGTGGAGAAGGGCGAGGCAGGAATTCCAAAGTTCCAGTGGGCAGGGTCTCACACCCCAGTAAATCCCAGTATTTACAGAGCTGCAGGAATGGCCGAGCAGACCAGGGATCTCCAGATGTGCACCAGCAGGGGCTGTGTGGGGCAGCCAGACACACGGACGGGCTCTGGCCCATCCCAGACCTGAGTGGAGCTCCAGGAGTTCCCCACTCCTGCTGGAAGCTCCTGCCCACATCCCATAGCGATAGCGAGGCACCGCTATCTCCTGCATCTCCCCAAGCACCTCCCTGCCCCAGCCAAGGCCAGGGAGAGGAGAAGGACACCACGAGCACACAGAACTCAGAGAGAGCTGGAAAAGAGCTCTCGGGGCTGGCCAGGCTCCAGGGCAGAGGGACACAGCCCCTGCTCAGGAGCAGAGCCGTGGAGACCTTCCCCATTTCACATCCCACTGGAGCAGAACCACTTCACCTTCCCGGTTTTTGGCACCCACCCTCCTCTCCCTTCAGCATCAGCTGCCGGCAGATGGGAGTGTGGTGGATTATTTAGGGAAAACGCCCAATAACATCACAATTACTTACCATAAAAGCCTGGTGTTTCCAATAATAGCCTAATGTTCCAGGCACCTGTCCAACAGAGCTCTGCTACCTGCCCACTGCAAGATCCGTATCCATCACGCTCCCCTGCGGGCGTCTCGGGGTGCCACTGCCGCTCTGCCAGGCTCGGGGAGCCCTGGGGATTGGGGCCACGCCTGTGTGGGACAGGGACAGGGGCTGCAGGACCTGTCACCCCCACAGCATCACCCCTCGGGGTCTGTGGAGGGCTGCAAGCAACAGCTGGTGGGGAAGAGGCAGTGCCAAAGCAGGAATTCACCAGGAATCAACACTGGCAGTGTCTGAGGCCAGGCTTGGAGCACCCTGGGATAGTGGAAGGTGTCCCTGGCCATGGGGGTAGAACCAGGTGGGTTTTAAGGTTCCTCCAGCCCAAACCACCCTGGGGTTCCAGGACCTGCCAGGCTTTGGCAGCTCCAGGCTAGCCCCACTTCTCCTGTTGGCAGCAGGTGAGAGCAGAGGGGCCCAGTGATCCCAGATGCCACTCTCACCTCCTGACACCGTCACCCTGATGCTGGAATGAGGCGGAAAGGGACAAATGGCGCAGGAACAAAAGGGCTCAGAACTGTTTTTCTTGGTCAGATCCCATGAGCCCCATCAGCGACATCCGCGATGGCTTTTCCAGACCAGGCTGGGCAGCCAGATTTTGCTCAAGTGTTCCCAGGGAACAACAACAACAACAACAAAAAAACCCACCAACCATCATGAACATGTGTCTGGCTGATAGGAACCCAGGATTGTCCAGCAGCAAAGTTCCCTGTGGGCTTGGGAAAGAGTGGAGGAGCAGCGGAGATGGTGTAACAGGATGTGGGCATCTCATCTCCCCAGAGCAGGAGGCAGCCAGAAGCACTGGCACTCACCCAGCACTCAGCTCCAATTTGTTTGCACACAGGCTTTGCTGGAAAATTGCATCCAGCCGGCCAGTTAATAAAAATCATCCTCGCAGAGCTCACCGGCAGCATTTGCTGAATGAGAGATGGATGCTAAATTATTCACTCTGCGCCATCGGAGCCGCGGCGCTGGGAGAGGGAGGAAGATTTCGTGTTGTGCTGTCAATTCTGGAGCACTTCATTCTCAGGGCTCTGAGGCTGCCATCTGCTACTGAATTCACCACGAGGAACGGGAGGGGGAAGGAGGCAGCGTTTGCAGGCACTGACTGCTCATCGTACAGCAGCTCTAGAACACATTTTGGAGCAGTCATGAGAAGGAGAAATCCAGGGGGAAGTGCGGAGTGGAAGGGATAACGTGTCACTCAGAGGATTCCACCTACACAGACGGAGGAGAAACATCTGAGGGCACAAAATGCCACCCTGCCTCTCCTGTCTGCCACACCTGAGTGGTCAAGGGAGAGGGCAGGCGCAGCACAACCTTCTGGATGTGTAATTTGCCTTCACAGCCAGAAATTTTCCCATTTCTCCAAGTATCCAGCCGTTCTCTTTGGCTACTGAGCTACCCCTCAACCCCTCCCCAAGATTTTATAAAAAAATTTATATTTTTTTAAATTAAAATCTTGATAAGGTGCTCAGCAGGGAGGCCCTTGTTCTCTTACGCACCAGAACCACTCTGAGAGGAAATTTTGGGAAATCACTGTTGGAGACATCATGGCCAGGTGCTGTGGTGGAAGTGTTCTGGTGGTGGCGAGGCTCTGGATGCCTGATCCACGTCTGGGAGCTCACCCAGCCATGCTGAGCAGTTTGTTTTATCAGGAACCAGACAGAGGAGACACAGCAGAGCCGAGCGAGGCCCTGCAGGCAGAGCTGGGGAGGGAGATAGAGCACCTTGGCTGGGCATGAAAGGCTCTGGGAGAACAAGAGAGGAGGAAACAACAGAAATCAGCCAGGAAAACAAGCTCCCTGGTTTGTTCCAAGACTTTCAGCACGGAACACCAGAGATTTTGGGGGTTCAGAAGCCGGAGCAGAGGGCACCGTGGGATTCCTGCGTGTGGGACACGGCCCAGGCAGGAGAGGGATGAGGATGCAGCCTGGTGGATTCCCACAGAGCTGGGAAGAACCCAAACAACCACGGGAAAGCCATGAACTGAAAGCTTCTTCCATTTTATGCTTTCCCTCCAGGCCATGGGCCTTTCCCCTCAGCAGGGCTCTGGGATCGGGGCCTGGCACTGCACACCGACGGGATGAGCCAGCTGGAAAATCGGGATTGAGTTCATCAACCTGCCTTGAAGCATCCACAGGTTCAGGAAGACGATTCCTGAGGTGTCTGCAGCCTCCCCAGCCCATCCAGGCTGTGAGAATTTGGTCCCCATGGCACGCTGGGCGTCCTCTGTGTCCTCCCCAGCGCTCCCAGCCTCAGGGCTCTGGGGAAGGCGGTGCTGGGCCTGCTCTGCCAGGCAAACCTCCATCCAGCAGGGAAAATCTCCACAGATTCCCTTGTCCTTCACCACATCCCTCCAGCTCCATCCCGCTCCTTTAGCACGGCCTGGAGCTGAGGGCCCGCATCAGAACCATGAGAGGAACCAGGAGAGGGGAGGGCCTGGGAGCCATCCCTGCTGGATAAGGACAGGGACACACAGGAGTCTGGCTCCTTGGAGCCCGAAGGTAGAGCTGGAGTTTCCCCTGAGGAACACAGCTCAGGAGTTGGCCTTTGCAGTGGGTGAGACGAGGAGAAAAGCTGGAAAAAACTGCTGATTTTGGGGAGAGATGCCCAGTGTGGGCCCAAGGCCACAACCCTCACCAGGACGGTGTTCCACGAGCTTTATGGGTGAAGCTGTTGATTTTCTTATCCTTGTGCACCCCATTTCCCACCTGGAGCCCCTGGGCACAGGAAGGACCCTCTGATGGGAGGGGCAGGACGTGGTTCCCTGCCCTCAGCACCTGCTCAGGTGTGCCTTGCCCACGGGATTGACCCTTCGGCCGCTGTGGCTCAGGGAAAAGGCCTCTGACAGATTTCTTGGACCCTTCCACCTCTCCCACCTCACCTTGCTCTGGAGTAGGGATCACTGACGTTGCTTCCTTCGTATTCCAGCCATTTTCCTGCACAGCCAGAGGTTCACTTTCCACCTCTCTCCCTTTCCAAAGGTGGCCCTTCTGTCCTTTAGGAGCTGAGGGACATTCAGAAGGAAGGTGAAACCCCACAGAATTCCAGCTGATGGAGCCCACGGGGCCGCTCTCCAGGCGAGGCTCTCCTGCTCTCACCCCTGGGACAAACAAGGACATTCTCCCCGTTGGTTATTCCCCAGCACATCCAATTCATCCAGCCCACATCTCTCCCTGGGCAGCACGGTGGGATTTCATCCCCAGCCTTGGGGGGGGTGTTGATTTTTAACGCCTGCGTATTTATTTTTGCCATTGCCCCGGCCGTTCCAGACCCCGCTTTATCTGCGGCGCTCTTTGACCCCCGCGTGTCAGGAGTTCAATCTGGGACGTTCCACTCTTTGCCCCCACTTAATTCTTTTCGAGCTGCTCGGCCTTTGAAACCTGGTGCCATATGCCAGCCCCCAAAGAGCCCTGATCAATACCAGGGGACCACGTCCCTGTGACCTTACAACCCGCCCCAAAAAGGGCAGAGGGCAGAGCCCAGCGTTGGCCATGTTTTCATTACAGGGGTTGTTGGAGGGGGAGGGACACCCTTTTCTTTCTTGTTTTCTTTCTTTCTTTTCAGAAAGACGTGGCCCAGCTGGGACACTCCTGGCTGCTCGTCCCCTCCTCTGCCTCATTTAATGACAGCAAGTGCCAGAACCACCAAAAATCAGGAGAACTGATGAGGTAAGTCAGAAAAATCAGGAGCACGTCTTGCTGTAAGAAAGGAATTGTTCCTGCCTGTGTCTTTTGGTGTTTGGGGGTGGAAGGACCCATCAAAGGCCCCAGAAGAGCCCTGGCAGGAGTGCTCAGGGCACCTGGTGTCTGTCCCCAAAGCTCAACCCCTTGCGTGGCCAAGTTTTATTCCAAGGAGGGGGTCCCCAGTGAGGTGCAGCCCTGCCCTGCCCCAGGTGATGGGGAGAGGTGGGGGTCCTTCAGCCCAGTGCTGGGGCTGTGTGAGCTGGGATGTCTCTAGGCCCCTCAGCTTGAAGGCCACTCTATTTTCAGGCCCAGACCTTCCCCGTGCCATTTATTTTCTCCTTTTCTCTGTTCAAAAGGTACAGCACATGCTTTCTGTCCTGGCTGCTTTCATCTGCAGAACGAGCAGAGCGGATGAAAGGGGAAAAGCAGGTGGTGTCTCCCTGGGACAGACAGGCTTGGATGGAGCTGCTCCCAAAGGGAGATTTAACCCAGGAAAAGGGAGGAAAAGCAGCAGTGAGGTCCAAGCCAAAGCATTCCCCTGGGAATGGGCAGGGACCAGGTGCCCACAGGATCTTCTGCACTTGTTGTGGGTCCCGTCCCCAAGGTCCTGGAAGAGCAATGGCAGGGCCAGGCTGGTGGTGCCAATGTCACTGTCCAGGACACCTCTTCCCTTTCAGGGACACGGCTACCATGGGCAGAGCTCCTTCCCCTGAAGCTGTTTCCTGTGGGCAGAGGTTTTTCCTCATGCCAATACCCAGGATAAATCTGCTCCCCTGCACAGGCCAGCCCTGCAGAGGGTGCAGGACCGAGCGTGGCATTGCCACAGCCACCCCTCTGCCAGCCTGGGCCCCTGGGCTCTGAGCTCATCAGCCAAATCCCTCCCAAGCTCCTGACTCAGGGAATGGCCCTGAGTGTTTGGGCAGCGCTCTCAGGGATTGTGGCTGGGGTTGTGGGGTGTCTATGCAGGGCCAGGAGTTCAATCAATCATCCCTGTGGGTCCTTCCAGCTCAGGCTATCCTGTGATTCCCTGATTCCAGGACACCCCCTTGCCCGGGGGTGCTGGGGGAAGGTGATTCCCTGTGATTCCCTGATTCCAGGACACCCCCTTGCCCGGGGGTGCAGGGGGAAGGTGTGACCCAGCTCAGCAGTGCAGAGGCCGGTGGGTGATCTGGGATTTGCTGCAGCTTTGGCTGCTGTTGGTGGGTTTGACCCCAGGGTTGTGCTGGCTGGGCTGTGCACACCAGCCCTCCACAAGCTCCTTTCTCCTCACCTTTGCTTCCACCTCTCCACAGGGGCAGGAACTGCCCAGACCAGGCTCTGCAGGAGCTCAGCCCCATCAAGAATAAAAGCACTTTTGAACAATCCTCACAGTTTGGGGTCAGTGGCTTCTGCAGGACCCTGTTAGAAGAGTTCCAGGACATTTTTGAGCGTTGCTGTGCTGCTGACTCACCCCAAATCCTAATGACCCAAACCTGTGGGGTGAGAGCAGCACACCCTGGCGTGGCCAGGGCTGGAGAAGCAGGAAAACCCCTCTGGCACTGGTCTGTGACCCGAGTGTTCCCAAGGACGGGATTGATGGGGCGCCTCACCCTCAGCATTCCTGCGGTGGTGGCAAGGGCAGGAGATCCTCAGATGGAGGGCTCTTCCATGCACCATCCAATTAACCCTTCTGGCAACTTCCATTAAAAATAAAGGGGCCTCCAGGTCCCTGCTGGAATGGCCTATTTTGCGTGAGCATCTCCTTGGTTTTGCCTCGGCGGACGGATTTTGGGAGGCAGTTATTTCAGGAAAGGGACGCTATAGATAACTGATCTGCCAGCCAGGTGTCATGTTCCTTCATTTATTTTCAATTACTTTGTCTCAGGAGCTCTGCTGAGAATTGCCTGGTGTCAATTTATTTGGTCACCTCCGTGCCCGCAGCGCCTCTCCGGAGGCGTTCTCCGGTGTGGTGTGATCCCTCCCCGGGGGAGGCTGTTACAAAACAGCTCCGCTTCTCCTCCAGCCCCAGCCCAGCCTCGGGGCCAGCCCCAGCTCTGTCCCCCTGCTCAGGGTCACCCGGGGGCTCTGGGAGAGGTGCTGTGAGCAGGCAGGGCAGAGAGGGGTTTGGCTGGGACATCTCTTCTGCTCCTCAGGGTGCCAGTGCCCAGCCCTTCGCCCCCAGGTGTCCTGCACAGCCCCTCCCCAAGCACACCTGGCTGTCCTGATATGCAGGGGACAAGGAGCTGAGCTCCCTCGTCCCTTGGCTCGTTGCTCTGAAGCCCCTCTGCCCCCTCAGCTGCTGAAGGTTGGGCTGAACACAGCATCACAGAATGGGTTGGGTTGGAAGGGAGCTTGGAGAACATCTCGTTCCACCCCTCCATGGCCAGGGACACTTTCCACTGTCCCAGCCTGGAACGGTCCCGGGGACCATGGGGCAGCCCCAGCTGCTGTGCCAGGCCTTCCCCACCCTCCCAGGGAACAATTCCTGCCCAATACCCCATCCAGCCCTGCCCTCTGGCAGCTTAAAGACGTTCTCCTTGTCCTGTTGGTCCGTGTCCTTGTGAAGGGTCCCTCTCTCCTCAGGGTTCACCACCTTTAAGGTGAATTGTCTTCACTCTTGCTTTCACTTTGGGCCCTTTTTACCTGCCTGAGCTGCTCTCCAAGTGTGATCCGAGCCTTTCCTGGCATGTCCCCGCTGCTGCTGGCACCGCTGAGCTGGCAGGGCTGGTGACAGGGGCTGGGTGTCAGCAGCGGGGCCAGCTCAGCGCTGACAGTGACAACAGTGGGGACCAAGAAGGGCATGATGTCATTCTCAGATCCGCTGGGAAGTTCTCAGCGGCCACGTCTGGAAAAAAACATCATTTCCCCGTGAAAAAAGGGCACATTTGCTCTGGTTTCAATGAGAAAGAAATAAATAGAAAGCCTGGGAGTGACTGTCCTTAATTGATTAGTCATTTCTGCAGATGATAATTGCACATCAAAAGACTGAGATCCTACTGTTCCATGCAAATGTCCTCACCGAGAGCAGCAAGGCACAGGGGAAGTGGATACAGGAAATAAATCCCTCAGAAGCTCCCCAGGAGGATTTGGAGTTCCACACCAGGAAAACAGTTTTGTTCTAGATGTGCCTTGAAGAAACATCCCGAAGCTCAGGCGCACCCCGGGAGCAGAGCACGGAGAGGAGGGAGGATGGGGAACACCCCGCTGAGAGGGTCTCTAGCCAGGGGAAAACGCTCCCACTTCAGACACGGCTTTGTGGTGTTCTGCAGCCGCTGACCCAGGGCCGGGGGCTTGGCCGGACCCTCGGCCCCATGCTCGGAGCATCGACAGCCACCGAGCCCAAATGAGGCGGCCGGAGGAAGGAGCCAGTGGGTGACCGGGCTGAAATGAGAGGATGGAGCTCCCAGCCCTGCTGGCTGTTGGGCAGCACCCCCAGTTTTGGATGCCCAGGGGTGCCCAGGCAGTCCCCGAGCCCGGCTGCCACCCCAGCCCCGCTCCCAGAAGATCCTGCGCTCGCCCCACGGCCCCAGCGAGCTGCCAGCCCTGGTGTCTGGCAAAGGAGCCTTGTGAGCATGACTCAGTCAGCCTCCAAAAGCAGCAGCGAAAAACAAGAATCTGCTGTGAGCTGCATCTTGATTTTTAAGCCAATCTCGTGATGTTTTGCAGGGCCAGAGTGTGGCTCTGTGATGCCCGGGCAGTGCCGGAACCCGCAGGCGTTTTGGGGTTTTTGGGGGTGCAAATTGTCCTTTTTGAACACACTGGGGTTCTGGAGAGCCTCCTTCCTGCAGGGAGCAAATCCCCCACATCCCCAGGGCTGCAGCCACAGCACAGGTCACTCTTTCGAGGGGGTTGTTTCTTGTCAGGGATATTCCAAAGGCTCCTGGCTGCCCTCAGAGCTGCCCCCTCAACCTCGTGATGCCCTCAGGGATTCCTAAACCTCACTGAGCAGCTCTGGACAGTGCTGGGGCAACATAGGAATGGCCTCTTGTGTCTGCCCAGGGCAGCTTTGGCTCTGTGAGGCCAGAGGTGAGAGCAGAGGTGCCCACAGCCCTGCCCAGAGCAGGACCATGGCCAGGTAGGGAAGGCTTTCTGATGCTGGAGAAGCCATTGTGCAGATCCCTGCAGCCTGAACTCCTGTCCCATGGTCCCTGCGGCCGAGGGTGACAGCAGGGAGCTGCACTGGGCCCTCTGCCCCGTCACATCCACATTCCCACGGGCAGCACCTTCAAAACCCACCCGTGTTTCGTTAACCCTCCATCTCCTCCTCAGCATCCCTGGGGACCAGCACTGAGGATCCCTGGGGAGGCTGAACTCGCTGCTGGCCCAGGGAACATCCACGAGGAGAGCTCGGATCCGCTCCCCTCGGTGTCTGCGGTGCGGGGGGACGGCGGCAGCTCCTTCCCTCTTTGTAGTCAGCGCAGAGAAATCGGCACTTTCAGGGCATGAGTCATCTGACCTATTTAGCCATCTTAGGAAGAGATGAATGACTCCTTCTGAGGGCTCCTCTCTCTCTCTCTGCTGTCTAGACAGCCAAGCTCTGACTGCAAACACCTTCCCTGGCTCTCCTGAGCCCACCAGGGCTCATCCTTCCCGGGATGCCGGGGATGCTCCAGGCACGGGGCTGGGTCACACATGGGCATCCTCAGGGGGATCTGAGCCTGGCCTGACTTGGCTCGCTCCGGGCCAAGGGAGATTTCAACACCAGGAAGGTGGAAATGCACTTCTGGAAAGCTTTGTCTGTGGCTAAGGAGGATTTCATGGAGCTGAGTTGGGGCAGGACAGAGCTGGACATCTCAGCTCTGAACAAGCTCTGTCAGCCAGGAGCAGCTGGGGTTTTACTGCAGGCTCAGCCCCAGGGTGGCTCAGAGCCCCAGCTCACCTGGAGAAGGTGCCATGGGGTGCTCGAGCCTGGGGAGCCCCTCCTGCTCCTCACACAGATGCAAAACAGAAAATGACTGTGCACTTCAAAGAATCACCTAATCTTAGGGGGAAAAACCAATTTCTGCAGGTTTTTTGTCGTTCCTGGGACCATTATGACTTCCTTCAAGCAGAAGGAAAATGTTCAAGTGATCAATTAACATCTTTTTCAGATCAGCATGGTCATGGTTGCAGTTCAGCTCCTGAGCCTTCCTCCAGGGGACCACAGTAGAGAGACCCAGGGATGCCAGGGGATTTGGTGGAGTGAGGACAGGGAAGGCTTGGGAAGGTGGCACCGACAGGGCTCTAACACAGTTAACAGAAAGCTGCACATCTGGGAATGAAAGTGCTTGGCTCTGTCCAAAAGAGAGGGACTTTGGCACTGAAAGGAGCCAATGGGTGACAAATGGCCCGGAGCCATCTTTTGTTTGAAGAGCGGGGGAAGAGTGAGTCACAGCAGGGATTGGGCTCGCATCTGTGCTCCAGAGCCCTCAGGCACATCCTGGATGCCGGGGATGAGGCTTTGGAAGCGATTTTGGAAAGCGGGCTCGGATAGCAGAGACTCCACGGGCAGGGAGAAGCAGGGAAGCAGCCTGGGAGAAGGGGTTATGGTGAGAGACGAGGAGGATGAGCGGTTCTGATTCAGCACCGGGGTTGGGAAGGCTCTTCAGCAAAGCCTGGCCTAGGGAAACCCTCCCAGGAAAGGCAGGACTTGCAGAGAGAGGAAACAGCTTCAGCCCAAGCCAAGGGGTGGACACTGAAGGTGACAAAGGAAGGAGGAGTGAGGGGAGTGCCACTGACCTTGGGATTGATCAGCCACCAAATCTGTGAGCAGGGTCCTCATGCCCTGCAGGTGCTGGGGTAAAGCTCCACCGGCTGTGTGAGGAGAGCTCTGGAGCACAGAGCCCCTGAGGATGAGGATGTCAGGACTCTGTACGGGCAGGGCTTTGGGATGCCCAGCCCTGGGGTGTGCACAGGGAGCAGAGGCACCAGCCTGGCCCAGGAGCTGCTGGGGTATGGCCCGAATTCCTCCAGTTTTGGGCTAAACCCAGCTCCAGGTGCTGGGGAAGGAGCCAGGAGCTGCAGCTCCTCCTGAGGAAGGCACCCATGGCCCCACTGCGAGAGGTTTGGGACCATGCTGGAATCTCTGTGGGGTGACTGGAAGCCCCCAGGCACTCAGGAATTTCTTACCTAAGCCCCCCCTCTTTGCTCCTGCCCTTTGCCACCCCAGCCAGCCCTTCCTCAGGGATCTGGGACGGCTGCAGCAGGGAAGCCCACGCAGGATTTTGGAGGTTTGAGCATCAGAAGATTCCCAGGGCAGACCTCATGCAGAATAATCCCCCCGGTTCTCAGCCCCTGCCCAGCCATGCAGCGCCCCAGGCAAAGCCTGAGCTGTGCCCCAGCCAGCACAGAGACAAGAACGAGACCACCTTCAAAATTAATATATATTTTTATTGAATAGTTGCTCTAAGTGGGCTTGTGAAGCCACCCATAGAATCACTTCTTTCACCTCAGCAGTGGTTCTGTAACAGTTATCAGCTTTGCAAGAGAAGGAAACCAAACAGAAGAGGGTGCAGTAAAATAAATAGGTTTTGGGTTGTTGTTTTTTTTTTTTTTTCTCTTATCTTTAAAATAAACTTTTCAAATAAATACTTTGGTTTTTTAATTATTTTTTTTTTCCCTTAGAAGGTACAAGAGTATTGTGAAAAAAACCAGCCATCAGGTTATAAACATATATTATACCTTATAGAAAGGAACTGGAAGGGAGAGAGCCGGGGAGGGATCCTGAGGGAGGCTGTACAGAAGGGCTTTGTACCCAGAAACTTGG